CAGGCAGATCGACGAAGTACACTGCTGAGGGGAGCAGCGGGCGGGTCAGGAGAGGTCTGCCACGCCATGTGGTCTCCTCCGGGGGCAGGCGGGAATCGAACTCATGCGGAAGTGGCTTAAACTTCTTTGTGCTGTGCTTTAACCCGCTGCGCCATCAGGGAGGGCCGTTTTATGGCTAATTTTTATATAGTTTCACAACTACCTTTCAAAATATCTCCCTAAATTGGAAAGAAAATTGATAAGTGAATGGAAAAAACTAGTTGAAAAGAAGCTACCAGATTGATAAGATATTTTCACTGTTACAGAAACTGTAAAACTGAAAAATAACAGGCATGTAAGTCTCAAGTGAAGTTTCTTATATTTTTCTTTCTCAACAGAATAGATCTTAAATCACTATGATACAAACTTGGTGAATTTGGATGGACATATCACCGAACCACAGTAAAAAACTACAAGACTATTACTTTTAGCAGACACCTAAAAGGCTCCAACTAGGAATTTCATATTCCTGCTACAGAACATTTTTATGATAGATATGTGCCTATTTTCTCCTAAATAAAAAAAGTTACCAAAATAACTAAACACTCAGGGAAAATAAAAATATTTCAAAACTTCAACTTTAGTAGATCTATGAAAAATATGTAAAAGAAAATGGGCGAGGGGCCCCCTGGTGGCCTAGGGGGTAAGTCTCAGCACTAAGGCTTGAATTGGAGCCCCACTCAGCACTCTCCTGTCTTGCCCCTGCCTACTCTCCTCAGCAGTGTATTTCAGTCAATCCACCTGCATTCTGTCTCTGGTAAATCCACTCATGCCCTTTATCTCTGGCCTACACCCCAGTTTTTATATGCATAAATAAATAAATCTTTTTTTTTTTAAGTGAATATAATGTCTTAAAACTGTATCATGTTTACCTACCCATCAAGTATAAGTTCTCAGGAGTGGTCACAGGAATATTAACAAGTTTAATATCATCTTCATCTGCTTTGTCCCAGGAATTAGAATTGCCACAAGCACAGCTATGAGAAGAATTGACACTCTGGACCTAAAATTAAGATAAAAGTTACTTCAAAATTTCTTCTGTGACAGTGCTTTGTGAACTTTGATATTTATTTATTATTCATGTAAATCCTACTCCTTATAAAACAATTCATAGAGTTTCTGAGAACTACTTCTGATTATATTCAAACTTAGAAGTCATAAGACTAAGTATGCTAAACTTTGCTCAAAAATGCATAATATTATGAACATGAAGTAATCATTTATATTAAAGAACCAGACAGTTATTTTTATATTGCTTACTGTTTTGCTATTTACCTATAAATTGTAATCAAAATAAATTGTAACCAACTTGATTTCAGGTAGCAGCTTTATTTTTCTTTAGAACTTATTACAGTATTGATGTTCTGCTAAATCATTAAATTGTAAGGTCTCTATTATCTTTACTTCCCTAGCAAGGTCCAGTGAGCCAGACGCACTTTGAAAAAACCAGACTTACCTTTTTATCTCCCTATTAGGTGGCTACAGTTGGCTCTTCTGGCATCTCAAACTAACTACATCAAAAAAGGAGTTCTGTATTTTTCCCACAACAAAACTCTTCTTCTGTTCAAATTCACCAGTAGAATTTTCACTCCTATAATTTCTGAAACTGAAAATCAAGAAGCCATCTCTTTTTTGTAAGAAGACTTTATATCAGTTTATAGATCTGCCCTCTCTTCATACTATTGTTATAACCCTCACTTTCAGGGACTAATTAAAAGGCAGAAATCTGCATTCACAGCGCTAACAGAGAAATGACTAGGTTACAGCCAAGTGTACTTAAGTGGTTCCATTTTGAAACTCCCTTTCTCACTTCTAGTCAAGAAGAATAGTTTCCATTTTCAGTTGGGAAAATTCACAACAGAGGGACTTCTCTGACGGATATAGTCCAGACTACAGAATAGGCATATACTTCATTATTCTGTTCATTTTCACAGAGGCCTCTGATCTAAACATTCTTTCTGTAGAGTTGCCTTTAATATTCAGTTATTTTGGGCCCTCCCTGGTGGCACAACAAGCTAAAGCACAGCACTACGAAGCTGGCTGCAGCCACTTCAACACAAGCTCGATTTTCAGACAGGGAGGTGACACACATGGTGTGGCAGACCTCTCCTGGCCTGTCCGCTGCTCCCCTTAGCAGCCTGTTCTCCCCATTCCGTCTCTGGTGAATCCTCTCACCCCCTGCACCTCTGGCCTGTAGCCCAGTTCTGTATGCGTAAGTAAATAAATATATATTTTTTAATTCTGCATATTTTCAGGCATTTAAGAATGGGATAGCTATACATACTCCAAAGAAGTAAGAAGACACAGAACAGAGTATGGTGTTCCCTAAACTAATTTTTAAATATATATACATGGGCCCTCCCTGGTGGCGCAGCGGGTTAAAGCACTGCACTAAGAAGCTGAAGCCACTACCGCATGAGTTCGATTCCCGCCTGCCCCGGAGGTGACCACATGGCGTGGCAGACCTCTCCTGACCCGCCCGCTGCTCCCCTCAGCAGTGTACTTCGTTGATCTGCCTGTTCTGCTCCCCGCTCTGTCTCCAGTGAAGCCTCTCGCCGCCCCTGAGCCTCTGGCCTGTACCCAAGTTCTGTATGTACAAATAAATAAATCTTTAAAAAAAAATATATATATATATATACATGGTGGTAGAGCACAATTCCTTGAAGCGTATCAGTGTTGTCTCTAAGAAGGGGAATTCCAAAGATCAATTTCATATTCAAAGATCAAATTGATAAATGTACAATGTACATTTATCATTGTACATTTTTGCCTTGTCTTTAGTAGAATATTAAAAATAATCCTATCTAAAAACTGTTTAAACTATAATAGATTTAAAGAAATACTACTTCATTCCTCAATTCAAGCAATAATATGTAAATGTTCCAAAGAACGAAGCGAGGAACTCTGAGCTTGGATTCAGCAAGCCAAATACTTTTAAACCTAAGTGAGTTCATCATCAGTTCATCTTAGCAACTTCATATAAAGTTTGGCTGCATCTTCCAGTTTTTCTTAGAGCATAGCTTTGAAGCAACACTTCCGCATTAACATCATTCTCACAGAACCCCATGAGATTACAGCACGTAAAGAAAACTGGAACCAAATGACTACATATTTACAAAAGGACAATTCTACAGTTTAAAGAAAACTGGCTCAACCAGATGATTTTTTAATTCCTGTCTATACTTAGAGTTATCCTAACTGTATTGTAATAGTATAATCTCCAGAAAAGTGGGAGGCTCCAGGTTCCTGCTCCATCTAATAGAGGTAGAGCTGAATGGGGGGGTAGGAGGGGAGAAGCTAGAAAAGACTTTGGAGAGAAGAATGGTATGCACAGAGAAAAGACCTGGAGGGAACATAGAGCAGAGGGACACGTGAAGATGTTCTGCTTGTTTTTCAGCTTTGGTCTTTCACCAGGAACTTGGGATCATGGAAGGAGACACATAGAGTTGAAACATGTACAGATATTTGGAAGAGATATTTGGAAGAGATGTCAGTCTCTGGGAGACTGACAGTGACAGTCTTGATTTGTACCTTGATTTTGTTCTTTTCAGCACTGACGTGCTGGAACCTTTCTGCCTTTTCCCAATGGTTTCCCATCAGAAAGTGCCTTACATTTGTGGCAAATTTTCAGGCCTCAGAAATTCAGCCTGTTTGGCTGGACATTTACCAACAGGGGATGGGTAACTTGGTGTTGTTTTACTAGGAAAAGTTTAGCCTTTCTTTTCTTTCTACGTACAGTAATTCTACTAAATTTCTTCTCTTTTACACACTAAGAATATTTTGTCTTTATGTGGTAGATGGCAAAACCCACTTGGAACATACAAGTTTGGGTACTGGGTTACTCCTCAGTTTGCCCAATATTAGTATGACATTGACTACAACAGAAAACAATAGAAATAGAAACAAATTTAAGAAAAATATTTTTTTCTTTACTTACAGAGGCCAAACTCTGCGCAGAACCTGAATATTTGCTGAAAAGTCCTCCATTAACATAGTTGTAAGATTGAGATCCTTTGTCTTTGGCAGAACTTAAAGATAATGTCAAATTCTGTCTACTACTGGAACAACTTGAACCTATCAAACACATTAATAGTAAACACCAATGATTAATTTTAGATAAAATTTAAAAAAATATATATATATACTATATTCATTCAGAAAGTTAATTTTAAAACACATTGCATTTAACTGTGTAAATTATTAAATGTCCCCCATTTCTGAAAATCGACATCTCTATATAATTTTTTTAATATTTGGAAACTCTGCTCCTAAAGTGAAAAATAAAATATTCAACTAATTAGTCAGGGCAATAGTTGAATAACCTATTGTAATAAAAAAAATACTGGCAATTAAGAACCTCCAAACTATAAATTCAATAAAATACAAACACTTTTTATTCCTAAATTAAATTTTAACTGTATCTATATGGACAACTAATCTATGACAAAGGAGCAAAGAATATGCAACAGAACAAGGACAACTCTGTTTGATAAATGGTGCTCAGAGAACTGGACTGCCACATACAAAAAAAAAGAATGAAACTAGCATGCTGCCTCACAGCAGGTATATTTTTACTGTCTCCACATAGTAATATAGTAATTAGTTTTTTATATTTGTCTCTCTTAACCATCATCCATTCATTTAGGGCAGAAAAATGTGTTGTAGTTTTATCTTAATGCAGGAGTTAAGACACTTCTTTAAATTCTAGCACTTGTTAGTTATATGAACTTGAGCAAGCAGTCACTTATTTTTCTACATTCAATGTTCTTTATGTATAAAATGGGAACTATCGGGACACAAAGGGTATCATCTAGTACCTCTCTGGGTTCTTCTAGGCAGGCAAATAATCAAATAAATATCAGACAAACAGATAAGGGGAAAAGCCATATAAAAGTTTAGTAATAGCATGTATACCTCCTATATTCTTGGGAGAGACTCAGGAAGACTGAGTAACATTCTCGCATGGTTTTAGATGATATTTTAAATAGTTTAGCTAAGACAAAGTTGAGGAAGAAAAGGCAAGTCAGTTAGATACTTCCAGGAAAGAGATAAAGGAACTAGTTCTCTGGGAATAGACTCCTACAGAGAGAAGTTCAGATATAAATATCAAAAACAGTCTTCACCCCATTTTCAGAGTACCTCCCATTAAATAAACCTCTTGCCAATGACATGACTTGGGGAGGCAGAATTTGCTCCCTTACAGAACAATAACATAGGATTATAGTCTTAAATTACAGGTTGCTATGAAGGTTAAATAATGCAGTGATTATATGACATTTAGCACTGAATTGAGATCTAATAAAAATCTCAGTGAGAACCATCATTATTTTTATAGTGTTCATTGCAGTGGCACAAAACACTCATTTATTAATTATGTACTGGATAAATTAATCACAATAGCAAATAATACACTAAGTAATACATTTAAAAAAATAAATCCAGCATGCTCAACATATAATTATTAATATTATAATATATACCATATCTTTAACAAATGCCACAGATCCTTTAAAGGCCAGCAATTCTATTTCTTGAATTTTATATACTAAAGAAATAAACAGACAAATATAAGTAAAGATACATGCCCTAGAGGGAACAATAGAGAATTGGTTAAATAAATTAAGAATGTATGTGTACAAAGTTAAAGTAAATATTAAAACAGAAAACATAGAGATATATTAATTAACCTGGAAAGATATTCTTACACATTGTTAATTATTTTTAAGGCAAATGACAGAAGACATTATTGTAACATATAAATTATTTACTTCTATATTATGATAAATGTTATATCTCATATTTAAATGCAAATACAAATGGATAGTTACTTCTAAGCAACAGAATTTCAAGTACTATTTTTTTCCATTTACTTGTCTGTATTTTCTAATCTTCCCAAAACTTATTATTTGTATTACTTGTGAATTAACAACCAAGAAAAGAAAATTTCATGACTAAAACAATGAAGTCACTGTTTTCTCATTTATGATTTACCCACAAAATTCCTTTTTAGACTTAATTCAGCTATTTCCACATACCTTTCTCTGATGCTGATCTTTTAGTGTATTCAAGTATTAGGTGCTCTGGTTCCCATGGTAATATTTTTCCTTTCTTTTTTCCACGTCTTCTTTTAAAGTGATGGGCCAGAAAAATTACAGATACAGCACTCACTGCGGTTACCACAAACAATTTTCGAGCCACTGGGGAAAATTTGATCTGAAAAAGATATAATTAAATTGAAAAAAAATATTTTATTTGATCACTTAAAAATGTAAGAACTAAACTTACCATTAAGCTAATCAAGAGAATATTATTTTACTCTTCTAAATGCAACTAGCCAAATTCAACTTTAAACACAAGAAAAAAATGTACTAATTTATTATTCACTACTGTGAAGTTCTCAGGTAAATATTACACACACAAAAATCCAACAGAGCACAAAATAATTCAGTCCCACAATATAATAATGATTAATTCATGAAATTATATCTATCTGAATTAGGGTCTCCCTGGTGTCACAAGGGATTGAAACAACTCAAGTATCCTGTGATGGATAAACTAAATGTGGTATATAGAGGCAACAGCAGGTTATTCAACCTGGAAAAGGAAGGAAATTCTGACATATATTATAAAATGTGTGCACCTTTATAACATGTTAAGTAAAATAAGCCAGGTACAAAAAGACAGTGTATGATTTGCTCATGAGGTACCATGAGTAGTCAAATTCATAGAGCTAGAAAGTACAATAGTGGCTAACAAAGGCTGGTGGGAGGGAGAGTTGCTGTTTAATTGCAGTAGAGTTTCACTTTTGCAACTGAAATCAGCTCTATGATAGGTTGTACAACAGTGTGACTATAACTAACGCTACTGAATTATTACATTTAAAATCATTAAAATGATCACTTTTATGATATGTATATTTTCTCATAATAAAGCAAAACGGAAATTAAAGGACTATAATCTAACAGATTTATTCACAAAATATGATTTGTTCAAAATAACTGTAATAGACTATGTAAATTCATTTAAGGAAAATTTTTAACATAACATAATCTCCATTTAAGAGTCATAAGATTTTAAAATCCCCATGAAATAAATAAAAACCTAGTACATAAATTTTAAATTAATTTACATGACTGACTCTCGGGGATTACAACTGAGATGGAAAAAGGCACAAAATGATGTAAAAATAAACTACTATATTATAAAAAAATTTACACGACTGGGCCATCTAAAACTTCCATTGAAATTAAAATACTACAAACAAAAGATTCTCTAGGCAATATAGCTATTATTAGACCTTATGTTTGTCTCATATGTTTACCTGGGAGAGCGAATAATACCAAGACAGAGGAAGATCAAACACTCTTAGCACCGCTGTCTTCAAGGAAAACTGTGATTCCTTAACTGTTTCTTCTGACATGACTCCTCTTCTAATCTTTATTAAATGAAACAGAATAACATTAGCCACAAAGATCTCTGTTTACTCTACACTTGTTTCTGATTACATGTTTCTGCTTTTAGAAGTAATTTAAAATCCATATCTTCCAAATCATCTCCTTTTAAATAATTCACCCTGGTGCTGCTAGAGGCTAAGTCTCAGTACTATAAAACTATCCTTAGTCACTGCAAGCACAAATTCCATCTCCCACCAGCGAGGTGATGCACATAGTGCAGCAGACCACTCCTGTCTTGCCCACTGCTCCCCTCAGCAGTGTATTTCAGTAGATTTGCCTGTTCTGCTCCCCACTCAGTCTCTGGTGAATCTGCTTACCCTGCGCCCCACCTCTGGCCTACGCCCCAGTTCTTGTATGTATAAATAAATAAAATCTTTTAAAAAATAAATAAATAATGGGGGAGAAAAGCAGTGCTAAAAGGAATCTAAAATCATTCTGGGCCTAGAAAGAAACCTGACAGTTCACTGAGCTTCAAAACTCTTACCTTTATTTTCTATCTGACCCATTTTAAAAGATCTTCAAAAAAAATCACACATATGTTAAGTAATTGTGATATTGTTTTGCTGCCACATTTAATATTTCTTTTTATTGGGTAATGCTATATAAACATTATACAAAGAAAATAAAATTCATGAGCAATCTCTCCATAAAAGCTTATTTGCTATCTTCCCTTCATCTCTCTGCTTTCTTTTTCTAGACACCAGTAAACAACTCTTAGTATCCTCCCTTGTCCAGACAATCTGAATGAATAGTATTCTTTTTGAGTCAAACACAGTCATACACTAAGTCCTCCAATAACAATATGGTCTCCGTAAAGGTCATTTTGTTATAAAGGGGGAAAAAAATCTCAGTGCACTTTGAACTAAATGGCATTATTCAAGAACCTACTTCCCTTACAAGTGGTTTTGCTTCAACTCTCCATTTTCAAAAGCAAAGAGGACTTACTATACTTCTTAAGGTGGAGTATTGCTAACTAGTATTTACTTTATTCTATGTTAATGACAGTGTCAATTTAATTTCCCCCTTTATGTTCTAATGACAACTTTTAGTTTCAGTATAATTAGTTCTAATTAAAGTATACTTAATTGAATCAACAAACTATGATAGAGATGTATTATTGAAAAATACAAAGAAAACCATGAAGAAACAACTAAACCAGTGAAAAATGGATCTTCTAGGAAATGAGATTAAAGGTGTAGTTAGGTTAGGTGAGGAACCAGTACTTTTCATCATATTATCATCATTTCATTGTTTAATTATATGACTATATAACATTATTTCCATTCTTAAATATTTGATTTTTTAAATCATCATCTACACTTGTTACTTTTTAAAAATACTACACTACAAAGAGGAAAAAATATTTGTATTCTTCCCCCCTAAATTGACAACTCCTCTTTGAGAAACATTTTTGGTAACTAAACAGATTTTATATCAAACCATCGTTGCTAATGCATTAAATATAATATCAGTGTGCATATTATATTTTAGAAAGAGAAAAATTCAATTAACCCAAAGCAAATTTCTCCATAATCGAAGGTTCTAAATTTTTAAACACAAGACCACTCAATTGTTGCAGTTTAAATTTTTTGATAGATCTCTACTTTGCATTCTAACTACCTCGTTTGCCTTCATTTAAAATCAGTTAGGAAGTGATACCTCAATCATTCGTTGGACATCTTTTCCAAAAGTCATTTCAGTTACTTTCATAAGTTATTATGAATTTATTATTATTACGTATGATATTTTATTACGAATAATAAATTCATAATAAACGTATACATTTATAAGTTTATTAAACATGAAGGTAGTTTCACAGCTACTCAAATTGGTTAGAGAGGGGTCTAAAACATCATCAAAAATACTCTATTATGTAATATTACTCACTTCTTTCCATTCTCACCACTAGAAAGTTAACAATACGTGTCAAAAACGGAGTTCATTTCTTAAACATCGTAAATTCGATTCTATAACTTGAACTTCGTAAGCCAAGCAAAAATTCCAGAAAACTTGCCGTGCAGCAAAAATCTACACAACCTAACATTGAGGAGATACTTTAGACACAATCAAAATGCTTAGTTGTAATGACGGCAAAATAACCATAAAGGTGTGTGCAAGAGCCAAGATTTCTTGGCGTCCTCCTTCCAGAAAATGGATGTTGAACTTTATTTACAGAAGGGTCCGACGCCACAATCGCCCAGTTGCTAAATTTTCTCTTAAAGCACCTTCAGTACAATGTAACATTTGTCATCTAAAAACCACTCGGCTGAAATCACAAGCATTCAAGCACAAACTCAGACTGCACCAAAGATCCCCCGCCACTGCTCTTCTCTCCTCTCCGATCCTGGATTTTCTTTACTAAAAGCACCAGAAACGGGAGTTCCCTCTCGATTCCACCACCCAGAAGCTCGATTTGGTTCTCAGGGGTCACCAGCCCAGCCTGATTCAGCGCTGCCCGCGGGCCTCCCTCCAGCGTGGGATGCCCCTGGACTTTCATTCATCTACCCAGCACTGAAAGTGCCGACGACCAAGGCCGGCGCCAGAATCGATGCCCCGCCCCTCGGCCCTGCGGCCATCCAGACCCCACCCGTCCCTGCGGCTGCCCTGCACCCGCGTACCTCGATCCCTGGCAGGTGCAGCAGGCCCACGCCTGCGTCCCCACGGCTGCCGGGCACTGAGTGGCAGCTTGGCCGCCCGGGCGGAGTCCTTCCGGGGTCAGGAGTGGGAAGGTGGAGAGAAAGTGGCGGGGGCCTTCTGGCTTTCTGCGTGAGGGGCCACGTGTGAAGCACATCCCGCCATTTTTATTTAGGGTACAGGCTCCCGTCTTGCCTGTTGTATATTGTATCCTTTTAAAATGCTGTCAGGAAATAATATCGTAGTTTTTAACCTTTTGAGGAATTTGGGACCATTCTGTAAATCTGGTGAAGACTATAAGTACTTTCTTACAGAAAAATGTACAGATACGCTTGCAAATTATTAAAAGAAAATAAAACACTTTTTAAGTTTTTTTTTATATTAATTCAGACGACTGAACACCAATCTGTGGATCCTAAGTGAAGAACTTGTACTGTAGACACTCAACCCCTACACAAATGAATGTTAAGAGGCATCCCAGCCCTGTATGGATGATGAACTTATTATTAATTTCATTTGTCTTTAGTTTTTCTTCATGTTTCTGATTGAATTGGAAAACCAAAGATTATGTGAATATGGTCACCTATAAGGGGTTAGGTAGGCTACTCACTTCTGAATTCTTTCTGATATTCATTGAACTAAAGAAGCAGAACTGGGGGTCAGGGAGAAAACAAAAAAATGCTTTCTCTATGAGCAGTTTTGGGATAAAACATTCCATCAGAACTGCAACTTTTAAAATTACAATCGCTGCATATATTTGTGGTGAAAGTCAAAATAAATTTGTAACTATAGTTAACATGTAAGGGCAAATGTTACTATCTGCAAAACAAGAATGTTCCTTTTCCAGATTACCCTTTTGTCAAGTAGAAAATAGGAAGAATTAGCCAATACCCATGTGACATTAGTAGATGATTAGTAACATAAAATACACAGATTGAGTTTTATGTAAAAATATTTTGCACTTGTACAGTTATGTAGAGCCTTTGACATGTGAAGAACCTGGAACCTGTAAAGCTCTTTCGTTTATTCCCCAAGCATTCTGCTGCTTCCATCTCGCTTCCTGCAACTGCCAAGCAGCCTAATGGGAAGAACAGAACAGTAATGACTACCAGCTAAAGAAACTTTCTAAGAACATTATCTGCGTTAATTTCACAATAAACATCATGAGAGAAATATTGTTCATTGAGTTTTAGTTTACTCTTTAACTGGAGAAAAAGAAATATAATATTCTACTTATTTTTCTAAATCAGTGTAATTTGCTCCAAGCATCCCCTCTCCTCAATTGACAGGATATTTAATCTTAATCATTATTGGGTGAATCAATTAGGAAGTTGTTAGCTTCCAGCAAAGGAAAACCAAACAAACAGTGGCTTAAAAATAAGGACAGGCTATTCCATATGGATGCAGCAGCAAATCTTATGGTTATCTATCTTGAACTGGAAAAAAAAGAAAGAAAAAAAGGAATTTGGATTAATTCTACAGGTCCATTCTTCATCCCAGATAACCAGTCATCACGTAATATTCACCAGAGACTGAAATTCATGGGAGTAATATTAATTGTTTCTACTGTCCAAATATTGAGGTATTTGCTGAACGAAATGTTAATGAATTTGGGTACGTATATATGCATCATATTAGAACAATGCTGTGGAATCAAATTGCCAGGATTTGAATCTTTTCTCTGCTACTTACTATGTGTGAGTTCTTAGGCAATGTACCTACCTTCTTTATGCCTCAGTTTCTTCAGTGGGGTGTGAGGGAAATACATGTAGTAATATCTGTAAAGCCCTAAAGTTCTTATGTAAATGTTTGACTTGGGTTACTTCTACTTTCATGGAATAAGAGCATAAAACTATTTCAATATAATTGCTATCTTGTAATCTTATATATATATTTTATGCATATAGAAACATTACTTGAGAATGCGGTCCACAAGTCTCGCCAAAATTTCAAATGAGGGCCCTCCCTGGTATCGCAATGGGTTAGGACTCAGCACTACAAGCTAGCCTCAGCCACTTCAGTATGAGTTCAATCCCCACCCCGGAGGTGATCCATATGGCCCAGCAGACTTCTCCTGACCTGCCCGCTGCTCCCCTCAGCAGTGTGTTTTGTCGATCTGCCTGTTCTGCTCCCCATTCTGTCTCTGGTGAATCATCTCACCACCCCTGCACCTCTGGCCTGTACCCCAGCTCTGTATGCATAAATAAATAAATCTTTTAAAAAAAGTGTCAAATGAGGGATCCTCACTGGTGGCACAAGGGGTTAAGACTAAGAGCACTATGGAGGTCTCTACAGACACTGCAGCACAAGTTCAATCTCCAGCCAGGGACCTAACCACGTGGCACAGCAGACCTCTCCTGTCTCGCCCCCTGATCCCCTTAGCAGTGTATTTCAGTCAATCTGCCTGTTTTGCTCTCCATACTGCCTCTGGTGAATCCTTTCACCCTCCACATGTCTGGCCTGCACCCCAGATCTTGTATGCATAAATAAATAAATCTCTATAAAACAATGTCAAATGAGTATGGTCAAAAAATGGTTAAGAGCATAGTACAATCCTGGCACATATTTCCAAGCTATTTGGCACATTAAGAGGGACGTTTCTGTGCCTTTTGGCAGAAGCTCAAAACTGAGAAAAATAAAATAGGTGGCAAGTATGCTGAACATTAAAAAAAGAAAAAAAGATACTAGACCATACACTCAGGGCAACCTAAAGAATGTGAAGTGTATTAAGTAATCCTTAGTCCTATACTATTCCAGAGAATTATATGGAAAAAATAATCAAAGAAGATCAGAGGATGTAAGTGTCTAAGAGTCGGTTTTCTAGAATACTATGCATTTTCTTTCCTCTTCCCCAAGAGTGCTTATCCAACCCTATGCTACTTTAGCCAAGTGAATAGGTTTTAAGGAACTCAGACAAGTGAATTGCAGTGCTTAGTTGTTTATGTCACTGGAAAAGTCTAGACAATAGACTATTCATGGAGACCTTTTATAGCAGAGCAGATAACGAGGGCTGCTGTGTATGTGGCCTGTACCTGCAAGTTTGCAGGTTTAACTGTTGGCTTGGCATAGGACTGTCACAGAGGGTAATCATACTTGAATTATTTTAAGTGTTGTATTTTTTTTAATGATTTATTTATTTAAGTATATAGAACTCGGGTAGGGGCCAGAGGTGCGGGGGTGAAAGGACTCACCAGAGACAGAGTGGGAAGCACAACAGGCAGACTGAGGAAGTACACTGCTGAGGGGAGCAGCAGGTGGGTCAGGAGAGGTCTGGCGCGCCATGTGGGTCAGGTCCTTGGCTGAAGTTCGAACTTGTGCTGCAGTGGTTGCAATAGCTTCATAGTTCATAGTGCTGTGCTTTAACACCAGGGAGGGCCCAGACGTTGTAGTAAACCAGGAGTTAAGTGAACCATCCAATGGTTAACCACAAGTTTCCCCTCCCAGAGTTAGGAAATGAAACAATGAGAGGTCTCTGACTAGGGGGCAGTTTTGAGGAAACCACAAAAGAGTTCTATAGAAAAAAGTCAACATTTAGGCGTGGGCCACTTGCCTTAGTCACCAAGGTCAAATGTAACAGAACTGACTAGCTATATCTGATTTTATTGATGTTTCTAATCAGCAGTATGGCCTCATGGAAGAATATGCTGAGGCATGGAAGGACCTAATAGCCTGGAAAAGTTGAAGGAAGTTTTTTTCAGACAGAGAACAATGGGCAAAAGTCAAAGGGGCATTGTTTACTTAGGGTTAGAGCAAGTAGCTCTAAATGGGAGATGTATAAGCAAAGGTTTTACCTTCTGGAAAATGGGATATAAATTAAAACAGCTTAAGGGCAGTATATTTGATTAGGTATAACAAAAGATGAGGTAGGAGGACCAATTTGGGTCAAACTAATGCCTTGAGGAAGTAGTATGAGGCAAGCAAGGTGATCTCTGGTTTAAATAAGCGCAAGCTATTTAGATACTGCACTCTAAGCAATTTGTCTATCAAATCCTAGCTCCTTGGTAAGAGAAAGAGTTCTGTGGCAACAAGAAGTCATTGAAGTGTTGCCTGATTGAATGTGTGTATTAGAGTTGGGTCCAGAAATATGTCTTTGCATGAGGAGACTGAGATGAGAATCAGAAAGACTCTCAAAATAATTTAAGTAAGAGTGAAAGAAATATCAAAATAATTTAAGTAAGAACGAAGAGTGTCTGTACAGAGGAAGCGTCTCACATTCCAGCCCCTCTACTGTCAACTGAAATTCTGTTAAGTTCATCTTCTAACAGCTCAAATAGTAATGTCCACTTGGCTTTTTCCTTCCTTTCTCTGAATTCTGGAATAGTCTTCCTCTACTTTATGCCAGTCATTGTTATCAAAATAAGAATTTCATCAAGTTTCCTTTCTCAAAATTCTTCATGTTATCTCTGTAAGGAATAATTCTCTTAATAGAGATTACTAACATTCTGCCTTTTCTGTCTAGTCTGTTGTGGGAGTCCTCCTTCAGTAATACTTCTCTAATACAGACCATTGCAGGCTTTCAAATCCAGCATGTTGTCTCTTGCTGATGTGACTTTGTTGCCTCAGATTAGAAAGCCCTTCCTCTTCTGGCCCATCAGAAAATTTCTGATTCAGTCTTTAAGCCAGTATTGATTTTTTTTTTCCCTCATAAACTTCCATTCCACTTATCCACATAACTGGAGCTGCTCTGTTCTTCATGACCTTGAGTCCCTGGCTGAATGCTTTGGGGCAGGCATTTAACCCAGGTAAAGATTATAAACCCATTTTGGGAAATATTTAAAACTAGGAGCTGTACCCTTGAAGAAAACTTTAAGATGACAATATCAAGAAAAGAGTGCTGCAGATATCATGAGAGAAGTAGTATTTAAACAGTGGTGCTAATAATAATTGCATTCCTGATTCTAGCTATCTTCCTTTGACTCCATGAGCAAATAAATTTCTTTTTGTTTGCTTATTTACTTTTTGCGTAAGGAGAATCTTATGGGCAAAGTGTTTTTGTGCACTGTTATTTTTACATGCCATTTCTGAGTCACAAAAATGAGAAG